CATGGTAAACAAATGTTTGGATTGACAACAACAATAACCTGCAATGCTATTCTGCCCTTCACATGGAATAGGGACTCAACGAGTGTGGAATTTACTACCTCTTAGTATGAATTAATCCAGGCTACTTGAATATTACAGAGTCTTTATTCAAGACAAGTTACTTGTTAATTTGTGTTAACACAAGTTAATTTGTGTTAAATTAAAAATCTAAAATGTATTCTTTGTGCTGATGAGTTACACCAAATATTGAATGAAATGCTTATTTTAGTTGTGCTGTGTTAGGGGTAAACAAACAGTTCGTATTTCTACTTTCAGTTGCTTTGCAGAGGCCACTGATGGAATAAATGTCCGTGGATATCAGGTGAGGACAGGGTTAGACTTAAGTGGTCAAGATAGGCGACTGATAGTTAGTGTCAAAGGCCACGTATGGACAACATCACCTCAGGCAAGATGCCAGAGAGAAAGAACCTGGAGCTTGTGGGACTGCCCTTGGGTGGAAATAACAAGGGTTCAGCCACATCTTCAGGAGAGAGGGGGGGGGGGGGGTGAGGAGAATATGGGCTAAAGAGATAGGTGGTGGAGGTGGGTGGGGGTGGGTGGGGGGAAGAGAAATAATCCTAAATCAATCTGACGCATTGTTGTTGGTTGTGGCACAACGAAAAAAAACACCGGAAAATTACTAAATGCAGAATGTTCATCTTACCTTTGAAAAGTAAGCAGAGGAGGGAATTGTTTTTAAGAAAAACTAGGAAAATTAATTGCAAATATTTAATCCAAAGTAATGCAAATTCAGTCAGCGTGACTCCTGTGGGGCGGGGAGGGAAACAACGCCGTAAATATATCTGTGCTCTGCGCTCCTGTTAAAACTCGAGAATTGGTCTTAATATTAGCAGTGAGAATACGAACAGTTTGTTAAAATTACTATTTAATGGGGGGCAGATGGCAGCTACAAGCTGCTCCGAATCCCGAGGATTAGATTTGGCTGATGGGCCACTTGCAGCTGAGAAAGTGACAGCACTGCCTTCTGATCACGTTAAGCAGAACGTTGGGAGAGGAACACAATACAAGACAAAACACGATTCTCTCTTCGACCTGCCCGGCACTGCAAATCCCCACTGGACACCACCGAAACGCTAAGCCTATGCCTCCCAGTTAGAAACACTTAAAAGTACATTTCTCTTTCCCCCCACACCCATCCCCCACTTCATCAAACAATTACTGTTTGGTGGTACAGTATGTGTCACACTGCTACTCTCTCTGTTTCCTCACTAATTTTCACCGCCTCTCACTCATCTCCCGAATAGGAGCCAGGGGGAGAGGGAGGGGGGGAAAGGGAGAGGGGAGGTGACCATAAGGAAGGTCTTTAGGCGGGATTTGAAAGTGGGGAGGGCGGGGGCAAGGCGGAGGGATTGAGGGAGGGAGTTCCAGAGCTTCGAGGGGTGGCGGCTGAAAGCACGGCCCTAATTTGGATTTGGTTTGACACCCACCCGGGTGGGTGCCCTGATGTGATCTCTCCAAAGTGCATCAACCACACACGAGCCTTAACGAGGGAGCTACAGCAGTCTGTGTGACTGTCTATGGTGGGCATCACTGCCAAGAGACCTTTCTGGGGTCCGTGCGGCTCAGATTATCACTGGATCCACTTCACAAGCTGTCACTGGGGAAAGGGGGAGGACAAGATGCTATTGTAGACTTTGAGAATGCCACGTCAATCCGACCCCATTTTGAGCTACGACCCTCGAATGCTCCCCTAGGCCTAGTCTTGTTTCTGAAACGTACACCGTTATACTCAGAGTTGCTTTTCAAAGATTTTCCATTGGTAGCTTTCTCGGACTTCATCCCCATTGCAAACAAGAGGGATGCGTGTGTGTCTGTGGGTGTGTATGGTGTGCGTGGTGTGTATATGTGTGCGTGTGTGTACGGAAACTACTACATTATGAGCGTTGGGAACTTTTGACCATTGAATTGGGTCCATCCAAAACATACTGGACTTGGCTTGAAAGCACACGTATTGGATGAAAGCATCATCAACAACAACAAATTACACTTGTATAGCCCCTCTCACGTCGGGGGGATGGCCCAGGTTTCTGATATAGGTTATAGCCCAATGTCTGCAGGTTAGTGCTTTTTTTTAGTGCAAAAAAAAACAATTAGGCCCTAATATTGATGGAAAATCCAATTAACGGAGGCAATCTGTTAGTTTCAGATATCGGTTGACTGTCCAACCCGAGACATTTGCACAATTGCTTGCAACAACTTGGAAACGCCTGAGGTAATGATCAGATTCGCTGCCAGAAGTGGATCGGGTTTAATTGAAAACATTTTCCTCCCGTTTATCAGGGACATCCCGTCCTCCCTTAACGCGCTGTGAATAAAGCCCCGTCCACCGTCCGCACACCGCAGTTTGGATGATCCGGTACAAGAAGCTTTTCAGTTGAATCGTGGTCGATGGTGAAAGCAGGCGCTGGATGCTGTCTGCCATGACACCCTCCACTGGGAAGGAGAAGGAATCCAAGAGAGAACTTACTTAAAAACCACTGACTCCAACTGCGCCCGCACAATCTATGTGAGTGCAGCACAGGCCAAAGTGATGTCTAGTCTGACACTCCAATGCAGCGCCAGGTGGTGGGGGGAGGGGGTTTGGGAGGAGTACTGCGTCGTTGGAGGTGCCGACCTTTGGAGGATGAGACGTTGAACATCAGGCCCTGACGTTAAAGATTCTGTGGTACGTTACGAAAACCAAAAGGGAGTTTCACTCGGAGGTCCTGACCAACCATCCCCCAAATAAAATGAATCGTTAAGACTTCACGGCTGTTTGTGGGACACTGCTGCGTGCAGATGAGTGTTCCCCTACAAAATGCGCAGCCTCTACGATTCACAGTGTATCCTGTGAAGCGATTTTGATATGCTCTCCTGATGCGAAAAGCTCCGTATCAAATGTAAGGATTATTATTATTGTTGCTTTAATCGCTTCAGCACGTCACATCGCAAAAGTCTGTTCCCCAGACTGGCTCCGCCAGCGGTTTTGCAATCATAAAACACACGAGAACAAACAACAACAGAGAAACGCTCGTAATAATCCGGCTATCCCGGTTTAACAACATTTAGCACTCATGTGATTACAAGGCACAACACGTTTCTTGGAAGCCGTGCACTATCGCTATCATATAATTACCGATTTTGTTTGCCGTTTGATTGCTTCTCTGAAAATCTTCTGTAACTCAGCTCGTGCGCAGCTGCAGCAGAAAAGTGAATGACTCCGCTTTTGTTCCACGAGCCGTCGGCGCTTACGAAAGTAACTAACTACACGTGTGCGACGTGCACTGCGGTAGCTGTGGCCACTCAGGACCTCCGTATTCCAGTCTTGCAGCAAAAAAAAGCCAATGGCTTTAACACGTGCACAGACTGTGTTTTAAAATGGATTCTAAGCCATTGCCATAACAGTGGAAGTTTACAACTACCAAAGGTGCATTAATACTACTACTACTATTATTATTATCAATAATCTGTGTATTTTTAGATATCGCCCTGCCTGTCGGGGCGACGTGTCAAAGTGTTTCACGGGATATACTGTGGAGTGCAGTGACTATGGCGTTTTGCAGGTGAATGCACAAACCGCGCAGCTTTAAGATGGGATTCGCTGACTCCTGGCATTCCGTGCGGATTACTTTGCACGCGTGTGTGTTTGCAGGGGGAGTCTGGGCAAAGCAGGAGCTTAGGTCATCACCGGCAACACTGACGGGGTGGGGGAGGCGCCACCGTGGGATACGGGGCCTGGAAATCCCTGAAAAAAGCACTTGCTGGTAACGAGCGGGCTAACGTCATCTCTGATTTGATGTTGAAAAAATTAAAATCATATTCATATTAAATTGTAACACGGGATTCGGTGACGGGGGCAGGGGTGGGGGCTTGCAACTGGTAGGTGAAGATTACATTCTTCGTGTTAAATTCCGTTTGTCAAACACACTGCAATTGCCAATTGCACAGAACTGCTACTTCGAGAGCAGCCAATATCAATTAAAATATTGAGTTCTTTTTAATTAATATTTCTTCCTGCGGAAAAATGAGACAACGCTCGGGATTTGGAGCCGATTAATGGGAAAAAGACGGGGTTTCGCTGTGGTTTTGATGATAAACGACGGGTAATGACGCGTAAGGGGGCGAGGGGGAGGTCGAATGGTTCTTTGACTAGTTTTGTGTTTAGAGAGAGAGCCTGAAGCTAACTCGCAGTCCACTAACCTAATATAGGGGGTTAACTAGAATCAGTGGGATAAACTCAATCTGGGTAAAATCACTTGCCAGCCATATGGTTCCAGGCCATCGAACAAGAGCAACAAAGGGAGGGGAAGGTATAGCTGGATCATGCAGTAATTCAACAATCAAACAGAATTATTATAAACTGGCGGGAGCTTCAATGCTGGTTTTGTTGGGGATGGATTTCAACGAGGTCTGAAAGGGTCTCAAAGCTCCTTTAAACAGCTGACTAGAGATCCCAAGCTGGGAGTGGGCTGGAGGTGGGGAGAAAGGTGATTAAAATTGTGCTGGAAGACATAGGTGTTAGGGATGATTTTGAAGGATGGAGGGATTGAGGGAGGGAGGGGGCAAGATGGAGTTCCAGATAGCGAGATAGAGCACCACTCTATCTAAACAAATTACATTTCTGTCAGGAAATAATATCTCGGGATACAGTACATAGTTTGGGACAACAACATGTGCAAGCGACTGCCAGGACGGTGGAAGGCGAACTGGATGGACCTTGGTCTTCTTTCGTCTAGCAAATTCTTATGGCCTTATGTGCTCTGCAGTGTGCTGCTGGTCCAGTCTAATGTCTTGGCGAACGAGTCTAACTTTACGTGTCATCGGATGTTGGTGAACGAAGCTTGCGTTGTCTTACACCTGCTCAACGTACTGAGTAACTCCAAAAGAGATGCACACAATGCAGTGCCACTGTCCGCAGATAATCTCTGTAATATTGGGTCACCAGTGCATCCGCCTCTTACCTGTTTCTCGGACATGATGTAAAGGAATTGCTGGTCCGTGGAGAAACCCATATCTCGGAGAATCATGCTTCCATCCTTCATAACCTGCACAGTCTCGTACTGACCGCCGATAGTAGGAGGGCCGTCTGCACGGATCTGTTGGGAGAGACGGGCCAAATTTCAAGCAACGGTTACGGCTTAAATAGGTTTGCACAAGTAAAAAGCATCTGCTCATAATAAATTTGGTAATAACACTCTAGAGGTGTCAAGACTTTGAGAACTCGGTTGTTAATCCATTACCAGATAATTGGGATGTGTGGGGGAGAGGCGGCGGGAGGGGGAAATCTATGTAAATTCACTTTACAGTATATTCTGTGAAGCCCTTTGAGACGTCGCGAAGACGTGATAAGGCGCTATATCAAATGCAAGAATTATTATTATTAACTGAGGACAATTGGCACTTGAGCAGTAGGGGGTGGTCTTCTGAGCTCAGGGTTCGGGCAGATGTGTTGGGTCAGGGGTGAGAAGATTGGCTTTGTGCACCTGGCTAACATTTCTGCTAACTCCTTGCCCAGGAGTGCTCCACCGCCCCAGCACTTAACATTAAGTGCGTTAATGAGCTCAAAAGAACAAGAGATGGTGAAATCCATTATCATTCATAATGTTAAAACATGTCTCCCACTGGAGTCATCAACCAGGGATTTCGCCAAGACACACATTTGCTACAATCTAGTTCTCGGGCAATTTCACGATGAAATATTCACAGCTACTGATTTCTGTATGTATTCCAGGATGAATGATAGAAAAACAATTTCCTTCCAATATACATTGAACAGAATGCAGGGGGTACACCACAAACTTAAGGGCAGTAAAGGCAAAAACTTGAATACAATTAATGCAGAACAGTAATAATAATAATAATAATAATTTCATCCACAAAATACAGTCAATTCACTTTATAGTATATTCTGTGAAGCCCTTTGAGACATCTCGAAGACGTGATAAGGTGCGATATCAAATGCAAGGATTGTTATTATTAATGCACAACACTATTATAAACTTTGCATTTGATACAGCACCTTATGTCGTCGCGGCGTCTCAAAGTGCTTCACAGGACTATGAAGTGTAGTAACTGTGCATTAGGCAACGTAGCAGCCAATTCGCACCCAGCAATGGCCCGCAAACAGCCTTGAAGTGAATCATCTATTTTATCTGGCGGTTTGTTTCGGCCAGTATTGTGTATACGTTAGATAAATTGCCAGGTGCACTCAGTGAATTTACGTACCAGCCTTTTTTTATTTGCATATGTTCAGTTACAGTATAATTTAGACCGTTTAAATGGAAGAAGAATTTACATCGATTATAATGAGCCTGTCAAACAGAGTATAGTCTTTACTGAGAATGCCTGACTAAATCAGTAGGTTTTGACTATCAAATTGACGACAAGGCATAAATTATTGTTTTCCAAAGTTAAGCATATTGTAAATTGAAATGCACGCGTCTCATCACTTATTTATAGACTGCAACAAAGATCCAGCGATCATTTACTACAACAAATAGGAAAACTGAGACGGGGTGAAAAATGTCTCTCGAACTGTGTCCAGCGTAAAATGCAACAACAATTCGTGCTTATATAGTGTCCTTCACTCCGGGTGGCGTCTCAGAGTGCCTCAATTACAAGCAGGGAACCGTTAATCAAACCGCATCTAAATGTACTGTAAGTCTGATCGCAACTGCGCTCCTTCCTCATATCAACGGACCACACACTGTTGGAAGATTAATTCAATTACCCAAATAAAGAATGGAGTTTGTTTGACTGAGCACGTGTCTCAGACACTCGGATCTGTGTCAAGTCGTCAGGCTCATACGTCAGGCTGTGTACACCTTGAACTATCAACGTCCACTTGGCCATTCTGTCGTGTCCTGTCAGAACTGAGTGTTGTTCCATCCACAACTTAAAACTATTTATAAATAGATACTTTCTGCAGAGAATGAGCTACATATCTATATATAATACTGAAAACACGCACACATACCACTAATTATATTTATATGTGCATTAAAAATAAAAATAATGCACGTAATAATCACCCTCACAATTCCTCTTGGCGTCTATAATGTTGCAACATCTCAAAACGGATAATTGCTGTCTGTGTATTTGTAGACAAACACAGCAGCCAATTTGCACGCAGTGGGTCCCACGAAGTGAATGACTAATTTATCTGGAGGAATTTTGGCCCGGAGAAACTCGCTCGTCTTTTCCAATAGCACTGTGGAATCTTTAACATCCGTCTGAACGGGCTGAAGGTTTAAACGTCACATCCGAAGCATGGCACCTCTGCCAATGTAGCACCGCCACAGTACAGGATCAACAACAACAACAACAACAACGTGTAATTATACAGTGCAGTTATATAATGTAATTATATGTAACACTAAGGGTAGGGTCCCAAAGCACCTGACTGGACTGCGAGCTCAAAGTCCTGACATGGGTTAGGAACCCACAATCCTTTGACCCAGAGGCGAACGAGCTGCTAATTTAGCCCATATATCCAGGAGATATATATATATATATATACATATATTTCCTTTTGCACTCCAAAGCACTATCTTGCATGAAGGGCGCTGTGCAAGTGCAAGTTGTTGTTGTATTATGTATCTCTCGCTATAAAATATAGATATATATTTTTTTCCCCCTTGCGGTATTGAGTGAAGAATGAGATGAATGAGTAGATTCATTTCTCCTCTCTCACCACAGTAGATTATTCAGCAGATTGACTATAAAATCAACACTGTACCTTACAATAGCACCAGGACCATCTATGATGTGCTGCAAAAAACATTGTGTGGGTTTGTGGGGGGGGGGCGGGAATATCACCATACCTTACCTCTCCTACCATCGAGACTATTTTTTTCCCACGAGTAAATGCCATTTCTAATTGGTAATAAGCGATGGGGTCATTTATAAATCACTACCAATAGATTGAATTCTTGGTGGAGACAATGTAAGTTAATGTCAATGATATCCTGAGGATTGGAAAACTGTGGCATAGATTTTTCTCTCTCTCTCTCTCTCTCTCTGTTGAGAGTGAGAGAAATTGTATCATATTGTTCCAGTCCATAAAACTATTCCTTCATCTGAGTGGTGAAAACGGTGCAGAAAGCAATAATGGTGAACTCAGCCAGTAATGGATTCAATGTACAAAGTGCAGTCGGAGACGCTGCTAAGAGTTGAGTTTAAATCTGACATTTGTCTGACAAGGAAATGTTTAGGTGCGGATGAAATGTATGTGAAACCCCCCCCCCCCCGAAATATAAAGCGATTTATAATCCAGTCACAGCACAAATCATGACAGGAAAAGCCTCCGATAAGGATCAAATTACCATAGCGCTTCGAGGACTGAAATTTTGCAAAATACTGCAAACGCTGCCATTTCCAACAGGACAAACAAGGCTTCAAATTATCGGATGCTCCTTGCAAAAGTGCCCCCCCCCCCCACCCCCACTCCCCCACCTTAAATCGTTCCGTGCATGTGTATTAACTGAACGCTTATTTTTACAGTGAATGACTCCGGGAGATTGTCCATCTAAATGTCTGTGGCCAGTTCAGTGGGCGCTATCACCGCAGCCACATTGGACTTGTTAGCCTTTTGGAGCCCTCTCGACTCGCAAGCTTTGCCCTCCTGAATCGGAAGCCACACTATTCCTGAAGTATTCCAATGTCAACCTGCGCACAGGCTCATTTGCAAAGCCGCGTGTCAATAAGAGTTATCCAGTTTCCCTGCCGGCTACTTCCTTCCCCCTGCGAGCACAGCTATTCATTTGGATCTGGACCTTATGAACCATTACATTAAATAAGATATGAATGAGCTCGAACGCTCTGCGAAACAAATGCCCAGTCAAATGGACTTGTGAGTAGTTCGGTCCACGCTGTCAGCGGAGGTTGCTATATGTCAGGAGGAAAAATGTGGACCGACAAAAGAATAAAGTTCCTTTGACGGTCAAAAATGCATCTTTTATTTGTTTAAATGGCACAACTTGCACTTCTTGCTGAAAGGTAGCCTGTAAGCGACACTCAACTCTGGAATCCTAATGATGTGACCTCAGTTTAAATCCTAGCCTTGACTGACGTGTGAGATTAGACTCCCCCTTCTCCCTGAGGGACACAGGTCCCAGCGTTCTCTGAGATGAAGAACTGGAATATTTACTTTGGTGCAAACGTCCAGACCCTAAAGCGTTAACCCCGTAAAGGCTGGTCTGAAGCGCGAGAGCAGGGTCATGGTGTGTCGTAAGAAGCCAACAATAATAATAATCCTTGCATTTGATTTAGCGCCTTAGCACGTCGTTGAGACGTTCTCAAAGCGCTCCACAGGTGACGATTTCAAAATACATTTATTGCAGGTGAGTTGGTGGGTGGGTGGGGGGGGCGCTGAGGAGGAGGGGGGGGAAACAGAAGCAATAAGATACATGGATCCGTCAAGAGAAGATGGGACTCTGTATAGAACTGATACCCCCAATGTTCACACATCCCGAAACACAAGTTGAATACAGTATAATAATAATAATCCTTGCATTTGATATAGCGCTTTTCACATCGTCTAAAGCAAAGCGCTTTACAGAATATACTGTGAAGTGAATTGACTGTATATTTGTGGGCGAAACGCAGCAGCCAATTGCGCACAGCAATGTCCCACAAACAGTCGCGGATTGAGAATGACCAATTTTATTATTGTTTTGTTTTTTGGAGGGATTATTAGGTGTGTGGAGTCAGGAAACTGGCCCAAGGTTTCGCCCTCTGCCTGGAATTGAACCCAGGTGTCTCGCTTGCAAGACGAGTGCTCTAACCACTGAGCTACAGGACTCCGTATATACTGGGGCAGCCTCACACCAAGTGGAATGGTATATTATTTTTCGTACAACATGTTGCAAAACAGCAAGTAGCTCAAACATAAAGGAACAACGACAACAACAGCGACAACTTGCATTTACTGGTGTGTCATGCCCTTCAATCGGGATAGCGTCTCTGAATCCTGAGACCTGAAGCACTAAACAGCTCAAACCGAGAGGCTGGGAACTCCACCTGCTCTCTCTGCAGGCACAACGACGACAACAACAACTTGCCCTTTTCTAGCGCCCTCCGCGCAGGGTAGCGTCAC